AAGACGGCAAGGCGGGCTAACTCAAGACCACCAGACTGAGCTATCACAAAACTCTGACGATGGAAGCGAGGTTTTCGAAAGGTCAATTCAAGTAAAATTTGGTCCATGAACTCATCCCCTCTTCTTCTTCCTTACCTTTGGGAGATTATGAACGAAATATGGTGAATATATGGGTTTCGCCGATCTACTAGAGGAACAGCTAAGTTTAGCTTCACCCTGGAGCTCACAATTAGAGCCCGCGGTGACGGCGGTTCTGGGGCACTATCGCGTCTCCTAAGACCACTGGGGATCCGAATGGTCCACCCGTCGGAGATATGAACACGTTCGCCTTCCAGAGTGCCGTAATTCTGTGTCAAATATACAACCGCGTACTTAGGGCAACAGCCAAGGCATTGCGTACAGGGCTAACCGTTCCAGGCGCGTACGAAGCCCTCGGAAGCAACTTAACGAACAAGGAGCAGACGTACACCTAGGCCAAATATTGATCTAAACATGAGCAAGCCTCCACCGGACATACACGTGGAAACACCACAACCCGGGTCCGACGAAAGCACAGCCATGAATACGTGCACCAACCGATAGCATGGCAGATAAAGAAAAAGGCAGTGACGTGGGTGCAAACAACAGCATAGCAACCCAGGGTGACAAACAAGGTCAGTGGGTGATGACTACCCAGGCCCAAACGTCGTCCTCCCCCCTCCCCACCCCCCAACGAGTGGACTGACAAGATTCCCTCGCACGCCTTTCCCACGATCATTGGTGCGCGTATGCACTAAGTCAAAGCGCCCCCCTCCCCCGAGCGGGGAGATTTGACGCTATCCCTCGCTCCTTCCTTCCTTCCTGCCGCACCGACCGTAGAACTAAAACACGGGTTTATGACCATTACTCCTATCAATTCTGCGGGGGGGATTACGATACTCCCTTCATGCTACGGAAGTTTGATATCGTCGGAAACGTCGTGACACTATGGTTTTCGAGATATCGCTCGACTTCGAATAAGTAGTTATTCTAAGCCGATTAACACGTCCGAGAATCGCAACTAGCCATATTTTTCTTTTCTTATCGCAAAGTTGACATCTAGAAAGACTTAAACCTTAGAGCTTGAGAGGCTCTCGATCTTTTCTCGTACAATGCCTATGAATTTATAATGCACATACAAAATCCTCAATGTGTTTGATGGTGGTCTAAATCCGGTACATCTATTCGCTGCATGCCGCATCGGCAAGACAATTGGACAACAAGGACAGCATGGCGGCACCGCTGACCTACTTAGTTGTAGCTCCATTGCGCTTGACGAAAGTCTTCACATATGGTTCAAGGACAAATTTGAACTGCTTTACATACACGTTCCTGGAATGCGAACATTCGCTTCAATAGTTAGGTGTCCCCACATTTTACCGTTCTTCCGGGAGAACTTATACGGTTTCAACTGTGAGAGGACACGAGATCGAAGTAAAAGGTAATTTCACGTGGAAAAACACTGCTACCTTATAGCAGGCATTTTTCAGATAAGTGAAGAGATGTTTTGGAAACTTTATTTGGGAAGTTTAAGAACGATAACTTAGAAAACAATCTTTGGGTTTCTCTCAGCGACAATCAGCTACAGCATCATGACCCGCTTTTAAACCTTCGGAGGGCAATTTAAGTTTATGCTTGCATTTTGTAGTCTATATTCTGGGTTTCCTTGTAATTGTTGAAAGCATTTTTGGTCCCTGGCTAGGAGGTGCCTATCTTCCCTGGATAAATTCAACCTGAATGGCATCTAAAGATGATCATTCACGTTATGGTTACGACTGCTATTCCGCCACTGGTGAACGTAAAGTCGAACAGTTAATTGCAGCATGCATCAGCTAAAAATGCGAAAAGTGTATGAAAGGAGCCATGCAGTCACATTCAGGGGAGAAATCTGTACTCTGGAATACGCAAATAATCCTAAGCCTGAAAACACTGTTCGCCTGAAAAACAAACACTTTCCCATGGAAACTCACCTGTTTTTTTTTTCCTGTCATTTCACAGCAATCCGCATTCCTTAGTCTCGGCTTTCTCCGGCTTTTTCGGGCAGCACGACTGATCAAACTCCTTCGACAGGGTTACACCATCCGCATTCTGCTTTGGACTTTCATTCAGTCAGTCAAGGCCCTGCCTTACGTGTGCCTACTCATTGCCATGCTCTTCTTCATCTACTGTATCATCGGGATGCAGGTAATTCCGGTTAAATCAAATCGCAATTAAAACATTTGACTTTTTTAACTCTTCACTCTCATCGTTTTTTCTGAGACCAAAATGTTTGGAAAGATACCGTGGACAAGCAGGTTCAAAGGAACTCATACAAATCGTAGTTTATTAAACTGTGAAAACGGATGGAAGGACACAAGAATGGGTGAACCCTAAGATAGTGCGGGCGTCAGAAAGGCTACCTAGTTCGTTATCCACAGCCCAGCCCAGGCCAGGCCAGCCTTAACCCTACGCCTGTACATATCATGGACCCTAACATCCGTTGATGAACGTTCACCGACGGCTAACGGACCTGACTCGTCCCCCTCTGCCTTCGGGCTCCTTTTCGAGCCCCGCCACCAGCCATACAGCGACTAGTAGTGTAGGCAGATGAATGTTACAGACCACTGAACCCGTGGCTCAATGGTTAAAACATTGGACTGCTGAAAAATAGGTTACGGATTCGAGCCTTGGGTGATGCACCACCTGAGGTTGACAATGACTGGCTGATCACGGCTTATGAGCCAGAAATAGTCATTCGAATCTTCGTTCTCCTTGCCGGCAATGTTCATCGGACTAGCCTTAACCTTAATCCTAATCTCTTTCGACCTTAACGCATTGCCACCTGGATTACGGGGCATTCATATGTTCGTGTCCTGCTGGGTGGAAATTTGCGGCTGGAATATTACTAGTCTATAGGGTAAAAAGGATAATATCAATTCATATCGAATAGTAGGCGGACTGTGCATTCACTGATAATCCTTTATTTACTATAGTTTGAAGTTTCTAAAATGCCCCCGGAAGGATACAGAAGATTAGATGCCGAGTATGTTTTGTTTGAGTATTCTTCCAACAACGAAATATTTCGAATGGCTTAAGCGGGTATGCTAGATCAGCAAGTATATCGTATTTTACCTCCCCGGAAGTAAACATTGCCTAGTTAGAAGAAACTGTAGAACTTCAAACCACACAAAGACAATCAGTAAAAATTAGTATGAAACTGGGATGAAATATGAAACAACTTAACCGCCCCTCTCTGTGTCCATCGCAAACGACGTGTTCGAAGATAAGTGGGACATTGACTATTCATATCTTAGCTGGATTTTAAGGACATTCGCTATCGCATAATTTAGTTCGGGGCCTTCTTCCCGAATGGATGCTGCCGGAGGTGAATACGGCCGGCGCACTGTCAAAGCATGGGACAGCATTTATCCTCTAACTAAAATTATACTTACGTTACTTGGTTCACTTTTCAAACCCCGTGTCTAACGTTTTTTTCTTTTTTACTAAAATACTTTTTCGCTCCTGCCTTGTAGGTATTTGGCAATATCAAGAACGATCCGATGACACAAATGAACATCCACAACAACTTTCAGACATTCGCCAGTGGCCTACTTCTCCTTTTCAGGTTGGTTGCTAAGTAACCGGCATTACTGTATTATCGCCAACTCCTAGTAACTTTTCATAGATTTGCTCCATAAAAGTGTCTAATTTCGATTAGCAGTTGGTTTTACTGTTCTACACAACCACAATAGTTGCTTTCTGCGAAGTCCAAACATGATATAAGGAGCGCTATCGAGTGTGTTTCAAGTTTTCCTTGAGAAGTGTATGACTGGTGTATTTGGGGAAGTAAACTTGAGCAAGTGAATGTCAATCGAGAGAAACATGCTAAAGAGGTCACTCCTTATTTACGAGAATATAGTCAACAAAGTTGGATGAAAAAACTCCTTAGCTTCGAAAACTCAGGAGATTTCATAGGCAGCTAACTATAGCCGTGGACGGAAAAGTTCCCCTAATTTCTTTTCGCAGTTGGGACTCTTATAAATATCTTTTACGACCCCTTAAAAATATGGTTTTGCCTGTCCCTCTGCTGGCTCTCTTGTGAGACTTTTTCCTTCATGTTGATAGACATTTGCTCAACGTTCAAATAGCTAGCATTTTGGGAGTATCATGCAGATAATGAAGAAAGTAATGAATACCAAAAGAAGCATTAATAATTTTGTTTCTAATACCTATTTTTTGCGCATCTTATCGATGCTTTCCGTGAGAATACCTAACCCACTAAATTAGGTCGCACGGATGTCATCTCTTCACTCAGTTTTGCTACGTATACTCATCCAACGCTGCACTCCTAAGTACGCATTACATATTAATTGAGGAGAAAATTCAGTCTTATTTTGAAGCTCGTATGCCATTTCTAAAGTGCACTCGTTTTGGAATCATTTTGGGGTTAGAAATTAAACTTGTTCGTCTGTTCAGAATAGAGGTAGGCATAATGTATAATTTAACCATGTCACCCAAGAAGGGTTTTTGCGGTCTACCATTTTGCTCAAGCTTTTCTTAGTTCTAAGGCTGGTTAGATTTCATTTCGGCGCACTATCTCTCCATCCGGCCTGTTCATTCAGCCTGATCATAGAACTTCAATCTTTGTTTTCGCCTCTTAATGAAATATTTTTGTCCACCCCAGCCGCCTGCTTAACGGAAAAGTCGTAGATAAAAAAGAAAACGCGGTCATTCGACGCAATTTCGATGTCGTGTGCTCGGTGGAAAACGCGGCCGCCTATATACCCTCATTCAGAAAACACAAACGCCTGTCGTTCCTCCTATTATCTAGCAGACTTTAAATTCTTTTTTTCACATCAAACACATCGATCTATTTTTCCCTCTGAAAATGTGTGTACTCGAGGACTGAAGCGAAGTCCCTTCCAACCTGACCTTCTGTCTTTATACCAAACTCTATCCTCGTGGTAAAAGCGGAGGTACAGGTGGCTGCAATATTCATAGGATGCAGTTGTTAGGTCATCGCACACACCCCTCACCTAGCGGGACACACTCGAAGCATCAAGTGTTGCAAGCCTTCGTAGGCAGCAAAACAGGTGTTGGAATTGTAACGGCCAGGCCGGCAAACTGTCGCGCCTTCATATTCATCCCGATAACTGAGGTGACAAAGGCCTGACAATCTGTCGTCTTCGGGACATTCTGTGCACATTCTGCATGAGTATTTATTCTACTAAATTCGAGTGTTCCGGCTAGATATGCGGGCGCTCTTTGCGTTTGCAGTCGACCGCCGGTTTCTGCGGGTGTTAGGGGCAACAATTATCCGTGAATAGATGAAAGTTGTGAATACTGAGCATCCGTCTAAACGCTTATTCGTGCCTAAGTTAATGCTAATATCCCATATTTACCTTTGTATTATTTCCAAAATATCATACAACATTACCCTTAAAATAGACGGTTTGCATAAAAATATATTTATTCACGAAAATAAGGTAAACATACTAAGCGGGTATTGTGGATATGTTATGCGAAAAAATTCCACGAATATCGAATCGCGAATAGGCGGGCGTGGGAGGGGGACGTTAACTTCACTGATGAACTCGGACTTGGAGGACCATTGTCCAAGTAGTTCTTGACTCACACGGTCGTCGACCTTAGCTTGAGACCTAGTCGGACCGTATCGATTAAGCCGTTACCCTGTAGCTTGTGAATTATCTCCTAAGGATCTTCTCATTTTTCCGATAAGGGTGCCTTGGTTGCCACACAAGCAGATCCCTTGAATGAACTTTAAGGGTCTTTTGCTGGGGCAGAGGCAGACCGATCGTCGCGTCAGAACATTGTCCCTGGCTGTTGATGGATTCCGATTGTGAGGGGTTTCGAAACCCTGCTTTTATATTGTGGAAGCATTCACCAAACTAAGTGTAATATGCGGTCTAGTCTCCTACTTTCTGTAGGTTGCTGAAATAGCACAGAGTAACCATTCGTTCTAACAATCTCCCAACAGTACGGCAAATTTTCAATCATGTCTTCCAGTTCTCAATGGGCTCATGGGGCGATATCGTGCAAATGCGTTTGTATTTAACTAGGTGTTGCTGGTTGAGACTTTTGCTTTTGGGTGCTTGCTACTTTCCTTGGATTGTTGCCAGCCACAGTCCCTGTCGCAGACGATGACATCAAGGAGAGCAAGCCGCCTGTTCCCTTCTGCCTTCACCGAGAGTTTTTTTTCGGGGAGCACGGCGTTGAGCTATTAATTAAAAACTATTAAATCGTCCCGTTTTGAGGGTAGCGCAAATATCATCCATGTGTAAAGGCAAGAAATTCGGCCCGTGGTGTTGGAACAGCGGTAAGTTTAAGCTTGAGAAAACCACCCTCACCGTGCGTCCGGAAAATCCATTAACCCACTGTCTCTTTTTTCTGTCTTATATTATGGGCGGTAATAATGGGCATCCTAAGGTGCAAGTGGAAGAGAGAGAAGTTTGAAGATATATATATATATATCACTAGGGGACCACTATTCATCGAGCAATCAAGAAGTATACATCAGCCTGAGCTAGAGATGTCAACTCTCTGCGGTAGTCATGTTAGCTGCCAAGGTCTGAGAGGGCAAATGTGCGACTACGCGAGGGTGTATGTCGTAAAGTTGGTGTGATAATGCAAGGATTCTTTAAGCTTAAGCGGGCGCCACCCAATGTCTAACAGCACTGCCCCAAACAGTATGTCTGAGTCCACGGACGGTGGAAGTCCAGCGAGTGTGTTTAGGTTGGGAGGAAGCTTATTTGGGGGCAAAATGAAAAGCTACCAATTGTGGTGTTGAGATTCTAACAATATACGAGGTATAAGTGGGAAGAATAAGGAGAAAATTAGCATAGGCCAGAGAACAACCAGAAAAAGTGGGGATGTCGGGGTCGGCAGTCTTTAAGCGAACTACGCTGATGGCCTCTGCTATGCCAGCATTACGGATACATAAGGTCTTAAAAACTCTCAAGTGAGCTCCATATCGGCTATCCTGAGGAATTTGGGGCTGTCAGGACGCCCACTCGTATCAGTGGAAGATGTTGCTTCAAGTATTTTTTTTTCTACATACAATTTCGATACATAGGGCACGCTGGAACTGGTAAGGTCATCCATATAATGAAGTTAGTAGACAATGTTGGGGAGATGATCGGCAGCACTGCGAGAAGTCGTTGGAAACACCTTTCCCGGCAGATAGATGGGAGTGTCAGTCCACTTCTGTGTTGGCATAGCAGTGGCTTGACTTGAACCTCAAGCTGATGGAAAGCAGAAACAGGGGAGTTGTTCTGTGTAGTTCGAATGCTCTTTCGCGATTTTCAGATCAACCTTCGACTGTAAGCGAAACCATTCAAATATTCTTCAAGCAATTTATTGGTAGCATATTGTGTGGATTTGGGAAGAGAGAGCACAACTTAAGAAAGTCAAAACGAGTTTGGACGCAGAATGAGAATAAAGATCAGCCTCAATGGTGGAGTGGTCGCTAATACGGTGACCCACTAAACCACCAATGCCTCCTGGCACAGAGGAACAATGGCATACAACCATTTATTGAAGCAAGCTATTTAAATCAGATAGGAGTTAGAAGGCAGATAAATAAAATTATCGGGTAAGACACGGTAATAAAAGTGGTCCAGACTGATTCCACGAATTGCACCTATTTCCCTGTCATAACACTCACTAACACGAACCCTTTAATTAACCGTATCTCTAGATTTAGCCTTAACTATAGCCTAACTCTAAGGCTATTCTTGGTCGGAACCATAATCTCCCGGCCCTATTAATTCTTGGTTCACAGTTATTTAGTCCTCTTCTGCTCAACTGCGTCTGTAATTTGCCTCCTCAGTCATATCGGGGAGGGTACGCTGGCCGAAGTACAAGCAACGTACTCTCAGAACCAAACAATTTCCGGCAAAGGTGTAATTGCAAATACATTGAAAAAAAACCTGCATGGAGGACTGTAAGAAAAAGCGGATTTAGCCTTTGCTTTTCGGGCTTTGTTGAGCACTAAAACGCAGCAAAAGCATATGGTTTTCCTTCATTTGGCTAGTGTTCACTGTTTTCTGAAAATTTGGGGTTTTCGCCAGGACAGTTGCACAGTTCTCTCTGAAAAAATACGTTGCCAGTAGGTGTTGACTCAACCTAGTAAACGTACTCGCAAATGAATATGAATGTACAATGTACTAATTAGAGATGGCATTTCCGGTAACAGAAGTTGTGGACTTCTGATTGACCATCGTAGCTAGCAGATTATTTAAGGCAATTCATCGTTCCTCGGTGGTTCACTTAAAGAACGGAATTTGCGTTCATGCTTTTCATTAATCCGACTCGAATCAATATACCGAATTTTGTATCACAGTACACGGCTTTTTTAACACATCAATTCTGATTCTCTTTTTATTTCAATCTTGTGTATTTTAGACTTACTCATGTAAAATTCTTCAATGTCGACAGACCTATACATATTTGAAAATAAATCATTACGATGCATGCGTGACTACTTTAGTCGCGTCTGCCTGCGAAAGCAGTCTTCCGTGCAGAAGTAAATGTCGAGCTAAAAGGGAAAAGTCATCAATCCTCAATGCCGGAAAGACGGAACCAGTCAAAAGCCGCTAAGCAAAGCAAAGCAGATCAGCATTAAATTTCGGAAACAAGATTGGGAGCCGCACAGCAGTATGACCGGAAAAATACAATTATTCTATGCTAAGAGCGGGAGGGGCTGAAGTCCGGATGGATGAGAAACAATGCGCACGCAGCCACCCTATAATCTTTGCTTGCTGCATAGGTATTAGTGAGTACTTTTAGGTAATTACAGAACCTGATGAACGATTGGCTAGGTAATAAAATGTTGTGCGAATTTTCTTATGTCGCGGTCAGTCTGCTTGTGAGTTGTTACGTTCTAACAGTCGTCTTTCGGAAATACAAAGGTTTTGGACGCGATTTATCACAAATATTTTTTAATTCAACTGTCAATCCTTTCAAAAAGATCACACAAGCGCATGCAAATGGTCCATACGTGCATCTTGATTTGCGCAAAATGTATTTCGATCTTACATTCAGGATAGTGGGAAAACCTTTATGGAACATTGTTTTCTCGGAAGAAATGTGAATGAGGCGAAGATCACGAGATTAGCCGAATTTATTGATACAGGGTTAGGCACAGATAATTTATCTTATTCATAGGCAATGACCGTTTGCAGTTGAATAAGAGGTCGGGAAATTATATGAAGTCAATAAATTCTGCTTGTTCAAATACCTTCATGCGTTGAGGTCATGGATAAAGGGTGCGCCAAATGCCCGACAAGGTGTGATTTTAACCATAAAAACCTTATTTTAAGATGTCTGGGAGAAATGGTAACCGTAAGAGGACAGGTGTATACTGTCTGACGGAGTGCAACCGCAGTAGCTGAAAAGTCAGAACGGTAATATACGATTTAAAGTACAAATGTTTACTGTTCTTAATTGGTCACTTTGTATATCAGGAGTGGCTTTTATATGCAAATTTGCAAGCCCTTGCGAAAACTATTTTCCAAAGTTCATCCGCAACATTTTCGTCATATGTTACAGGTACCATAATTTAGTTATGATCTGAAACAAAAGAATCAATTTCGGCCAACCATTTTAGGTTCATTGTTACCAAACAATTTCTAGTTCATTAAGCTTGCCAAGGCGCCTTTAATATGTTCATTGAGGGCGCCTATTTGAAGTTTAGGGAGAGAGTTTTTTGACAGTCCTTTGAATTCCCCTTGCTTCCTACTCTCAAGAGGTAATCACGATATTTTCTTACACTTATGTATACTCTTTGATTTTCAAGAAACCCAATACGAATGTCAATTCGGAGGTTTCAGGTCGAGCAAAAGTGTGATTATCGCATGGCTGACTGATTTTTTCTCGTTCGGGAAAGGCAGAAAGGAGCTAATAAAGTTACACCAGTTTCCTTTCCTTTTCAGGTGCGCTACGGGCGAGAATTGGCAGGAGGTGATGCTGGACTGTGACGCCGGTCGTGAGTGCGAGGGCTCCGGTGAATCGTGTGGAAGCAAAATGACATACCTCTACTTCGTCACCTTCATTTTCCTTTGTTCCTTTCTCATGCTTAACCTGTTCGTCGCAGTCATCATGGACAACTTTGACTACCTCACCCGGGATTCCTCGATTCTCGGACCTCACCATCTCGACGAGTACGTCAGGGTGTGGGCCGAATATGACCCTACTGCAAGGTAATATTAAGGTCTCTCAGTAATTGGAATTTAATTCTTAGCGTTTTCACAACCCTAAAGATTTCAAACTGAAAACTGAATGCCAGAACTACAAGGAACCATAGATGGTTTTAAATTCTGCTTTGCCGGCGTTTTCGTATTTTATGAAGAGCCTTTCATTTAACCTTAAAATCCCGAATAATAGTGATAACATACTGTTTAATGACTGATCTCTAAGTTCTGAGAAGCCGGAAAAGATAAACGGTGGCTAATTCCTCATCCTTATTCAGTTAAAATGCAGGTCCGAAACAGAAGGCAACAGAAACTAGAACAAGGTTGTGGTGGTTCACACTTCAGACATGAACTGACGTTCGGGGATATCTCAATTCACATGCAAATGACCTGTATCATATATCTGGGCTGGATGACAGAATATGCGCGTTCTGTTTTAGTTCTAAATTCCTGCCTGGAACCGAAATGACGTTGAAGAAGGAGTAATTGAGAAGTCACAGTAAAAAATGGCCGAAGTTTGAAGCTCCAACGCATACGGCAGCACGCGCACCCCGTCCCGCAAGCGGTGTAAATTCCTCAAAACTATGCCCGAGGGAATTTGGCTGTCTGTCTTTTTAGTATTTTGTCCGTACCGCTAATTCTGAAGGGTAAATAGTATTTTCATGGTAAACTCTACATTGCCCGACTAATTTTTTTCATAAAAGCGTTTCACTCTACAAACACGTACGTTGGAACAAAGAGAAGAGTCCACTATGCAAAAATTGGAGGCATTTTTTCCGTTTCTGTAGCTTTGCTATTTTCCGTGCTTTGTAAGGTTAGAGATATCGATTATGTGGGGTAGCCTGTTGCGATTTGAAAATTCCACTCCAAGGAATGTATCCTAAAGAGTGTTTCAAATGCTCATAATAGAAACTGTATCTGGGGGGAGGTTAGAGTAATCCTTCCTCAAAATAAATTATTTCAAGACATTTTATCCTTATTCCTGTCAGATGTGTTTTGGTGAGCTACTTACCAGATGCTCGATATTACCATTTAGTATTGAGACAGGAAAGTATCGGGATAATTACTGTAAAGACAGGGAAATCTGGCAAGGCGACCTCTGCCCTGTTACTAATCCGCAGCCAGATTGTTCCCTGGTGAAATAACTCAGTGGTCGACTCTCCCACTCATAGCAATCATTTATTTACCATATTCTTATAGGTTACTGTGTCGCTCGTCCGTCAAGACCATTGACCCTCAAAGAGAGACAAGCAGAGTAGACCTGTTAATCTAATCAAACTGTCTTTCTTAGCTTCATAAAGGCGCTAGATAAAAAATTAACTTAAGAACCCTGATGAGGTTTAAGTGGACTATTTGTATCAATGTACGCCTTTTTCTACAGAGGTGGAGGGTGTTGTATAAATTGCATCACCGAAGCCGACCAAATGAACGAACGCATCCGAGGGGAAAACTGGTTTATTATGAAATAGCTGTGCATAGAGGTTGTGGCCGAATGAACCTTGATGGCATTTTCCCAATAGTACCGTAATTTAGTTTAC